CTACTGCTACTGCTACTACTACGACCTCTACTACTAGTATCCACCACAATTTCAAAACTGTTGCTGTAGCTCCTGTCGCCATCTCCATTTTTCGGCTTCTCGAGCGTCAACTCCCTGGAGCTCAGGGTTCCGGAGAGAACGCTGTTAGACGTGATAACGCGGAGTACCTTCGTTAGAGGTGTCATGATGATCAGGATCCGACGATTAGGGTTTACATAGCTGGTCTAGCTTCTTGAAGTTTAAGTTCACGTTTGTCGTGCCCAAGACCCTGCATCGATCGCAGCTTCCTGGTGCATCCCCATCCCCAAATCGCAAGCTCAGCCCTAAACTAAACTTTTACCAAACTTTTATGTTTATGTAAAGGCTCCAAATGGTCCTAATGGCTCTCGAGCCTGGGATTGCTGGCATCTGCCAGGGTGGAGACGGCCTTGAGGTGGAGTCGTGCCGGTTAGCTTTCTGCACTCAAGCAGCCCAGGTACGGGGCCAGGGCGAGGGGGCGGGAGGGAAGTTCAGTTTATGGTTCAAGGGCATATGGATCTCAGCATGTAGGGTTTAGGGCCTAGGGCTTAGAGAGCTGCGTTTTAGGTTGGTCCACGTTGTGGTTGCCTTGCAGAGAAGCCTTTGGTTTAACCATGTTGAGAGCTTACTGATCTTTAGTTGCGGCCGTGAGTTCAACTAGGCTAGAGGAAACAGCTCCTCCACCTTTACACCCTCGAGCCCGAACCTCAAAGCCCTGAAGTGTTGCCCGGTCATTGTCCCTGAGCCTCCATCACACATGACATGACATAGTCGCTACACGGCCATGACACTGATGAAGCGACACACTGCTGATTTGGCTGCAGAAGCTTTCATCGTAAGCAGTATCATTGCTGTCATAGCAGCAATGGCAGACATCTCCAAAAACCATACTCAAACTAAGCCTTAAGCTGCCTTAGCCACGAAACCCTAAACCTTGTTACTCCCTTATATACACCAACAGTCTACACACCACTCGCAGGTCTGCGAGTGGGCGGCTTGGGGGGCGTGGTCGGAGTGCCGCCGGGGCGCACTGCCGGTTCCGTCGGAGACTTGGGGGTTCAAGGGTTTTTAGTGCTGAGGGGTTTGGGCTTAGGGTTTTAGTGTTTAGGGTTTAGGGTTTAGGGTTTAGTGTTGAGGGTTTGGGTTTGGGGCTTTAGTATCTTAGGGTTGAGCTTATAAGTGATGGGTTTTAGGGCTTTGGCGGTTCGCCTCGGGGGGGCGGGGGGGGGTTTGGGCTTCGAAGTTTAACGAGTTGGAGATTTCGGCTTCAGAGTTGAGGGTTTAAGAGTTTAAGGTTTAAGGTTTTTAAGTTGAAGGTTTGAGGTTTAAGGTTTGGAGGGATTAGGGTTTCAGGGGGTTTGGGGTTTGATATCTATTTGTAATGACAGGTGGGGTTTTAGGAGGTGAAGAACAATTTTTTTGCGTGGCTTGAAGGACAGAGGTTGCAGGTTTGTAGGGGCTATCATCTAAAACCACCCCCTGCGCGGTTGCCCTAGACCCTCCTTGAAAGGGTTCAGGGGTGCTCGGTCTTGGTGTACCCATAGGCTCCAAAGTGATTAGGTCTTTTCGGCAACTGCCCTATAGGATCCTAGGTAGAAGCCACTTAAAAAAGGAACTGCAATGGAGCCTATGGGTAATTATGACCTTATTTTTCAGTATCAGGCCTAAACCCTAAACCCTAAATCCTAAACCCTAAGCCCTACACCCTAAAGCATAAGCCCATGGGAAGGGACTTGTAGCCTAAGCCCTAAACCCTAAACCCTACACCCCAAAGCATAAGCCCATGGGTAGGGACTTGCAGGGCTCAGGGCTCTAGGCCGACTGTGGGTTGCAGGCCAAGGCTGAGGCCTTCCAGACCTGTTAGGGTTTTGGGTTTTGGGTTTTGGCTTAAGGGTTTTGGGTTTAGGGTTGGGGCTTGGGTTCTGGGTTTTAGGTCTAGGGTTTAGGGAGTTTAGGGCAGTGGGTGTTGGGTTTAGGGTTTAGGGTTTTGGGTGTAGGTTTCAG